ATATATATGATAGAAGCTAATACTAATCTAACATAATAATAACACCGCGCTTAGAACGGTACATTCGCACCTGTACATATGTGGACATATACAGGATGTATGTGTCCGACGAGCTAATCTTAAGATTCGTTCGCGCCCGCGCCCGCGCCCACGCGGGACGGGGCGCGGAGCGGCAGCGAAGAGAAGAGTTTCCCCCGAAGTCTGAGCGCCACGGGAAGCATAACCACCGTGTAGCAGCCGTGTAGCCGTCAACCGTACAGCCGCCGTTGCATGCTCGCACGCGCGGCTCGTCGGCGGTCGCCCTCTCTCGTTACAAACCGCACTATCTCTCGCACGGTACTCCTGCCGACCGACCTCAGTGACGTTCGTAGTCGCGTTGTCCACGTGCTGCGTTCGTAGCCCCCATTTTCCAGCCACGCGCGATCGACACATCAGTGGCCAACAAAGTGCGATCGGTGCGAACTGCCGCCTCCGATACACGCCTGGCACACATCGCAACGCGATTTCTTGTTTACATCGCTGTCGTTTCTTTTTTTTCTCTTTTTTCCCCCCCTCAAGTCCATTCTCTCTTAAGCTCTTTCTCGACGCTTCATCTCGACGCAGACAAGTAACAATATATATGTGATCGCATGGCGAGATATTTAAATGTTTCGATAATCGAAGGATACTTGAGGTAACTCGAATCGGGAGTTTCCACGTCAAATCAAAGTCGGTGTAATATCTCGCGCGAATCGCCGAATCGCCGTCGTGCGTTATACGCGTCGTGATTGGTGAGTGCGACCTTCAAAGCGGAGTCAAGTGTAATCAACGACTAAACAATACGTGTTTAACAATAAGACAATATTGTATTGCATTTGTGCGCAATCGACGAAAATCGTACGATGAGCGACGGTATAGTCGGTGCAATTGCAATCAGTTTGTTCGGTACTAGTTATTAATCTGTGTTTGTGTGTGATAGATCGCTTTTCATTTATAAGGACTCGTTCTAGGCGGCGAGAAGAAGCGTCGAATCGGTATGGATGCCGGTTACACCGTTCTTAGTAGCGATCTTGAAGCTTGCAGAATGTTCGATCAATATTCCTACAAGGTGAGCCAAACACACTGTTAATAATCATAAATAAAATAGGAGAAACGCCGCGTGATTTTGTATCAGGTATTACCAGCCAATACCTTCCGCGCGTAAAAATGTTAACGCGTTTCATTCGAATAACATACAAACTTTTCTGAATCTTATTTCAAAAAAAGTTATTTATATTATTTTCAATCAAAGCTATATTTTCCATATTTTTCACTTTCAAAAGATATAAACTTAAGAAAATTATATTTATCCGAAAACAGATTTCTCTAAATCGATTTTATCTTGAGATAAAACAAATTGAGAAAATTCTGTCTAGTTTTTGAGATAATTACGAATGATCATCATTAAGCTATTGCATTTCACGGAATGTAAATCGTATTCTGTTGCTAAAGGATTACCATTGCTAAAAGATTTATATTTTAGAGTTAGAGATATTTTTTAGATGTATAATTTTTGTTTAAAAGTATCTTTGTTAATATTCACTGTGCATAAATTTTACAATTTAAATAAATTTACGCTGAACTTTATCGAGTATGTGACAAAAATATTACAGAATAAACAAATAACTAGGAATCAGGAAATACAGATAAATATCTCATTTGAAAATTAATGAAACGAATAAACATTATTATTATTTATATCATTCTTATAAAAATATCGTGAAATAATTATAACTTAATTTATATCATTATGAAATTTAATGTTTGTACTTTTGTGTGTGTGTGTGTGT